TGGTTCAGAATATATCCACTGATGCAGGATTGTTTTCTTCCCCACTAAAGATATAATAGACAAAAGCTTTCTGCATCCAGGAGTGATTTTCACTCCATGCAGGTCTAAAAATCCAAAGATTGGCCAAGCTGCAGAGAGGTAAATAATTAACCAAGTTTTGCCGAATATACTTAGATATATCGTCCAAAAGGACTTTATCTTGAGGCAGCTCCAAAAAGCATGATATAAGTCTGCCGATTCCTGCCCACATTTCAGACATCTAGAGGACCCATTCAGGCAGCAGTTAACTCCCTCGCTATTAACAAAACAGCTGGACCAGATGGGTTTCCTGCAGAATTTTATAAAATATTGTTATCGGAAACTAGTCCTTTGCTTACAGAAGTTTAACATAAGATCTTGAGTGATTGTACTTCCTTTCCAGATTTTAATGAAGCATGTACTATTTCAATTTTGAAAGACGGTACAATTGTCTCTTCTTATAGGCCTATATCTCTCTTAAATGGAGATGATAAATTATTGGCAAAAATAATGACTAGTAGGATTCGGAGTATACAGATTGAATACGGTTCTTTGTACAATGATATGAGACATGAAGATTTGAAGTTTTATGGTGGTCTGTTACAACTTTAACAGAACTGTGAACCACTCTTCTAGGGCAATTCCCTATAAACATTTCTGAACTGCTCCCCATTAGTTGTCTAGCTACAAAAGGAGATATGGAAATCCTCCTGCTGTGTAATGTAAAAACAAAAAATAATTTACGAAAAAAGAACAGTGAATGAAGGGAGACTATGTTCAGGGATGCTGAAGGTGGACAAACCTATGCAGACTGAAGACTCCAACTTAAGTATACATAGATGCTCACAATAGTGTAGGCTATCTCCAGAGAATGTTTGCTTCAGGCTTTCTCTTTGGATAATAAACATGCACATGGGCTGTGTCTTCATTGAGATATAATTCAGACTTGATGGAGGGCCAGATCATTTGAAGGCTACACTGGCATGTGTATGTGCCTCTCAGCCATTTTTTTCCCCATGTGCCACCCATATTAGCCCATCACTGCGAGCTGTCAAATATGTTACAGATGGAGCTACCAGATGATTTCGTTGTGTATCATTAGCATACGTATTGGTGTATACTGGTATTTGAGTTTTGCTTTCAACATGTTTAGAGATCTGGAATACAAGCTGAATTGGATCTTTTGCAGTAATACTTTTGCTATGCATCCCTATTCCGTTACTATTCCGTTATTCCGCTATGCATCACTATTCCGCTATGCCACTAAATAGGAATGCAATAGCCATTTAACTTTAAATGCAGCCCTCAAAGCACACCAAGTTTGACTCTTTAGGTCTAACACCCTGGCCAAGTATTTGTAATGAATTGGATCTCAGCTACAGATCAATGAACCAGCTTGATTATTTTTTTAACAGTGTATTGTTTTGTAACACTATTTTCTCATACAGGAAGATATGTGGAATGTACATATAACTGAAATGGTTGGCAACATGTGTTGTGGAGAGAGGCTACAGTCTATAACAAGATTGTAGAAGTCTTGAGGAAGTTACTTCTTGTCAAGATTCTCATGAAACAGCAATAGTCAATGTTACAAAATAATAAATACTTGCAGTTTAGTAATCATGTAGGAAGTCCTTGTGAGCATCCTGGATATAACCGTAGTCAGTGAGCAATTTTGTAATTAGGAAGTAGAAAAGATTGAAGAGACTCCTGCAATTCAGAATAACTTGCTACGCTGTGAATAGGGTTAACAACCAGGTGTGATGAGCTTGATCAGCGTACTTCGTAGAGTTGAGGGAAGCAAGGGTTAACAACCAGGTGAGGTAGTAGCGAAGTCAGTGTATCTTGCTAGAGACAGAGTGAAGCAAGGGTTAACAGCCAGGTTTGATGAACTTGATCAGCGTACTTGGTAGCATTGAGAGAAGCAAGGGCTAACAACCAGGTGAGGTAGCAGTGTAGTCAGTGTATCTTGCTACAGACAGAGCAAGGCAAGGGTTAACAGCCAGGTGAGGTAGCAGCGTAGTCAGCCTAATGAGTGTATCTCTGGTGTGGAAACAAAGTACTGCAAGGCAGCTTTACGTATTCAAGTAATGGAGGAAGTTTTCTGGGTGTAGCAGCTTCTTCAGCTTGATGAGTGTCTCTCGGGTGTGGAAACACAGTACTTCATGGCAGCTTTACAGATTCAAGAAATGGAGGTAGTTTTCAGGGTGGAGCAGCTTCTTCAGCTTAATGAGTGTCTCTCGGGTGTGGAAACACAGTACTTCATGGTAGCTTTACAGATTCAAGTAATGGAGGTAGTTTTCAGGGTGGAGAGCAGGTAAAACTGCTGTTGGGAGAGGTTTGGCTCTAGCAGTCAATTGCCGGCATTCATTCCTTTGCAAGAATGCCGTGCAGTTGAATTTCGTGGCTTAAGCAGCATAGGGAGACGGAGCTGTGGACCAATTACGAGACGACGGACAGGTGAGTATATTACATAGTTACATAGTATTTGAGGTTGAATAAAGACATTAGTCCATCAAGTCCAACCTATTAGGATCTCATTCTACAGTAGGAGATAAGAATATTTGAAATATTAAACATACATCCTTTGCTGAAATATCAGCTTTGGAAGAACCGTCCAAAAAAATATTCTTTGGTAGTTTGAAATTCTTCTATGCTTGGCATTATCAAAAGATAGAGAGTGAAGAAAGCTTCCATACTATACAAGTTCTTAAAACAGAAGTTTTACTTTAACGTTCACAAAAAAACAAAAACATTTCCAATAATCAGAACAAATTCAACTGCATTACGAGAATATGACAAAAATATGCTCAGAAATATTATGTTCAAAGTATACCTCTGCCAAAACAATGCAAAAAGAAAATGCAGCACATTCATTAGATTTACAAACATGTATTTATAAAATATTAATGTAATAATAAATTCATAGGTCTTATGAATCTATAATTTAGAATCATAAAAACTTGTGAGCCAGTCAACTACTAAATCGTTTTCTAGGATTCCTAAGGACAGTCGTTTTTTTAAAAGTGTATCTACAGCCCAAACGTTTATTTTTAGGTTTGAATCGGAAGAAAGTAAGGAAGGATTAGTAATCATGTCAGGCTTTCGTTGTGAAGCAGAAATAGCCAGCACTCCATAATCTCTATGGGTCTGATGTATTAATGCTCTGCCCAGCGTACAGCAGGGCAAATGCTGTTTGCATTCCTTCCCACCACTAGATAGAGCCAAGGAGCAAAGAAAATTCCTAAGCTTCTATAGCTGTATAGCTGGGTGGAATATTTGTGCATCATTCCCTTAGTATTAAAACAGAGGTGTTAGTAGCATATACAGTATTTGCAGCAAATCAATGTGGGACCCATCTGTAAAGTGTGGTTCCTAATCTAACAAAGCTTCCAACCTGAGACATGCACAGAAATAAATGGATCAAAGGCCAGTGTGCCTGGAGGTAACCAATTCATCCTTAAAGATGCAGATACACACCAGAATCCCAGCACTGCAGACAGGCAGCTGAAGACTGTAATGTGTCCCAGCAATCAATAACTAGCATTGTAATGCAAGGTGCATGTTGCAGTACTATTACATTGTGTATGAATGTCCCAGAAAATGGTAGCAGAGACGTTGTGGTGGTGCTCAAGACAGTCACAGCCGATATAGGAAAGGTAACTAACATTCAACATCCTGTCCACACTATCACCCAAAATCAGTATAGTAGAGTGTGCAGTTAATGTGGCACAGCACATATCTTAAGCAGGAATAGCCAGCACTCCATAAACACTATATATTAAATGGGGCAGTGTGGCTTTCACATAGATTTGCTGAATGCATATGCTACTAACACCTCTGTGTTTAATCCATAGTGTTTATGGAGTGATGGCTATTTCTGCTGTAGTGCAGTTTCACCATTGGCCGTTCCCCTTACTACACCGATTTTGGGTGGTAGTGTGGGACAGGATATTCAATGCTAGTTATGTTGGCTGTGACTGTGACCATCAGTGACAGAAAGTCCAAACTGAGTGGTCACAGGAGCAGATGGAAAATCTTCCAAGAGAAAAAACTGTACCGTGACAACTGTCTATCCTTCCTTTCTTACTTTCTATTGTGTCTATAACATTATAACAGTAATGGAAATCTGCCTCCCAGCTGTCAGTCCCAAGAAGAGACTCTAAGGAACCTGACATACCGTAGCATCATACTTATTTCCTCCCTTTTGCACTCACCTTGCACAACAAGCCCACACTTCAAGTACACAGATGATGGCACCATGTGACCTTCTGGGATTTTCCACCAGAGTGATGGTACCACCATCTAGCTCTCCTGATCCTCCATGTTTGCAAGTCAAACCAAAAATGCAATGCAAGTTTACAGGAGATCACAGGTAGGTGGATGGAGCTTCCATTCAGGTGGCTGTCCTGGAGGATGACTGGGGGAATACCTAAAAAAAATCTTATACAGCAACCAACTGTCCTCCATAGTTACACTGCATGATTTGTTATCCTTACATCATATAGCTCTTAATTTCACAGTATTACCAGGATCAATATGGACAGCCGCGTCAAAGGCATGAAGCCACCTCATTGGCTGGAGGTCTTCACATATTATTTAACTACAAATAAAGCATGGACTTGAATGGCTATTTGTGCCAGACTACACAGAAAGAAAATGCCATGTTTTTAGAGACAACGGGTATATCTCGTTTCCAACGACTGACGTGTAGGATATTGTTTAAGCAGAGCACAGGAATCATTTTGTAACAAACTCTTAGGAGTGTTGGCAGCATTCGGAAAACAAGAGTGGTATAAATACTGCAACCAAATCAATTTATTGTGCCTCACATCAGACGGGAGACCAGAAGCCTTACTGCACTCACACAACAGTTTATTCCGTACCTACAGCTTCTGCATTTGGGTTGCCATAGAAACTAGATATTATCTTAACCCTTTGAAGGGCAATCAGGCACCACCTTACCAATTTCCATGAATCACAAATTCACTTTGCAGTGAAATTCAATAGAAACAATAATATATGCACACCGTGATTAGATGAGAGGCAGCCATTGTTACCTACTCAGAGTCCTTAATGATAAGGACATATTAAAATTGAAAACCATTGTTAGTTTTTATTTACTATGAAATTATTTTGCACAGCCGATTTATTCAATTTTCTGGTGTGCTCCTATCTAATGTACTAACAACAAGCAGTAAGTACATGGGATGCAAATGAAAAGCAGGTGTGCCATCTAGTGGTAGATTTGATATATGCAGAAACTAGTTGTAAATGTCTGTGCCTTGACATTGTAGGGGACATTTATTATTTCTGCCACACAAAGCAATACGAAACAGGAGTAGTGAGATAGACCATCAGACATATTTACTACAAGGTTACAGAATGAGTCAAAAATCCCCCCCAAAAAAATACTGTAAAGTTAAAACCTCACCCTGATCATGTCTTAATTATGCATCTTTTTAGAGTGAAAATCTCTGACATCTTCAGTAATGAATCTGTATCAGAACTTTGGAAACCCTCCCACTTGGCTGCCAGGAATACAGACTCACCGGACTGTAAATCTGTCGCAGAGACTTTTCTGAATGAGAAGCAATGTGATTTGTGACTAATTGGGTCCTTCATTTTCTTGATATATGTCCCCCATTGTATTGTTTATTAGTGTTTTTCAGTTTATTGCACAAAATATGCATGACTATTAGGAGGTGTACAAACAATGTGACGAAATACATTACTAAAAGTGATATCAACTACTTGCCATCCGCCCGTTAAAAAATAAACGTAAATATACGGCTTATCGCGTGCAGAAAAAAAAGCACAAGCAGGACACACTGACGGGTGTAAACAACTGGTAATGGCTGTTACACATACAAACGATTGGCGGCTCTATAGCCGTCCGATTGCTTGTATGTGCTGCCCTGCATCTAGCCGCCCTTCCTCCAGATCTACCACCCCTTCCATTTTTGGTTCCACTGTCCCCTCTAGGGGCCCGGGACCGGCTCAGTGGCTGTCAGAAGGCAGGGAGTTCAGCAGTGTTCTCCCTGCTAAACTCCTCTCCGATCTCTGAATGCGGAAGTGGTGTGTATTACATGACTTCCGCATTCAGCTGTCAATTCTCTGGCTCCTATAGTCAGACATTGGCTGGGTTTAAAGCAGACAGGGATGTGATGTTTTTTAAAACCCTTCTGAGTTTCTCAGACACCGCAGCTACATATGGGATGACCAAATTCTTTGTCATGCTTTTCACTCTCACTGGTACTCTTGGCATTCTTTCCTCTTCTTTCTGTTTTGACAAAAGCCCAGTCTGCATACCCGCAAGTTTTAAGGGCCCCCCTGAGGTGTTTGAATTCCTTCATCTTGGCCTCCGTTCTGGTGGGGATTTCCTGTGCCCGGTGGTGTAGAGTCCTGGGACATCTATTGTCTGCCACATACAATGCTGTTTTAACACCTCTCTGTAGGCAGGTTAATAACACCTCCTAGACTCTAATTATGCAAATGCAATCAACAGCTGGTTGTGATTTACAGATTATGTGGATTGGAGCGAAATTCACTATATTTATTCCCAGATAATTTTTTGTACAAGTCATTCTGAATTGAGAAAGCTGGTCGGATGTCCAGTGAAACGACTTCAAGAAAAAACATTCCAAATCAGCCAATGTGATATGTCTGGATTTGTTTTCTCATTTTGTCTCTCATAGTTGAGGTCTACCTATGATGCCAATTACAGGCCTCTCTCATCTTTTTAAGTGGGAGAACTTGCACAATTGGTGGCTGACTAAATACTTTTTTGCCCAACTGTACTATCTCCACAAGTTATGAATGAACATGAGCAATCAGTATAGAGGCTTCCTGTTCATTTATAACAGGGGCTGCAGAAAGAGAGATTGAAGACTGTGACTGCAATCTTTTTCCATTTTAAAAGGGAAATATCAGTGGTCTGTTTAGACCCCCAATATTTCCCCAATCAATAGACGGTCTAATTACCATAGAGCAGGGGTAGCCAAACTTCAGCCCTCATCTCCTTCATTATCATCAGTGGCATAGCATACATTACACCAGTGGTTCTCAACTCGTGGGTCGCGACCCAAAAGTGGGTCACGGCGTCATGTCTGCATAGACCGGCACACACTGTTTAAACAAATGAGCTGCTAAATAATGCTAATTAGGTTGTAGTTTTAATATTTCCAGTGGTGCTCTGATTTTTGATAAACATTTCCAAATAAAAACAACTCTATCAGCAATCAGACTCCGAATGCCTTCCATTATTTTTAGCAGTCAGAGGCAACGCATTATACACTGTTTAGTGTTCAGAAGCTTTTGAAGAAAGTTACAGTCAAGTGAAACCTTGGGCAGTCTTAACAAATAGTAATTATTCAGGATCTAAACGCTACATCCAACCCTTATAGTGCAGAGAAAAAAATGACTGAAGGCTGCGTAGGCGTGTTATAATTTCTATTCGTATGGAAACAAAAGGACCTCATGTATAGATTGCCTGGAAGAAGAGGTGTCTTTTTTATTGTTCCTTCCTGGAAACCAATTAGATTGTCTGTTTCCTGTCCCCTGGCCAGGTTAGGAAACAAAAAGGAAAAGTTTATCTTTGGCTACGAATAATTTATAGAGTATTTCCCCTCTACTCAAAGAGGGAGGCTGTTCAGTGATTGACAAGACTCAGCACCCCAACTTCTATGGGGAAGCAGAAGACTAGAAGACTGCGGCTGCCTGATTCACCATCTACAGCGGCACTTCCTCTACCACTACAAAAGCAGACTTTCATTGTGCAATAGTATTACTAAATAGTGCAGGCAATCCATTCCTTGATTTGGATCACAATGCTTTTTCATTTCATAAAGTTCATGGACAAAAGTCACGCAGTCAGCACAATCTTCCACATCTTCTTCAGTCACATTGCAGTATTAGAAGTTTTTTTTCTTCTTCCTTTTCTTGCAATTGCAACCATGATTAGTCTCATGTAGTCCCTTCTTCCCCAATTTTGTGTATAGAAAATGACTGATCACCTGAACAACAACAAAAATGAACAAAAACAAAAGTAATTGTAGAAAAATCTAAATTAGTTTTTTTCCCCGGCATGAGCTAGTCACATGTAAAGCCCTCTTACAAGGAATGATCAAAAAAAAGGCTTGTACAGCCCCCTGTTCTCTATCAATGATAAAAGTAAACTTGTCATATGAGAACTGTGGAGGCAGCCATTGTTGTTTTCCTTCTGAAAATCCATGTTGCCTGGCTGTTATGGTCTACAATGAACAATTATGTAGATCAGGAAAGTTAGAGATAATAGAGAGGTCTTTAACTGCTAACTTCCCCCATATTAGTGACTCAAAATATTTAAAAAAACTCCAGCTTGTAGAAAAATTAACCCTTGCAGTGGGGCTAGCCATGCAATGCAAGGATTAACTGCTTGTTTTTCTCTAGGAGTGATAATGAAGAAGAAATACTCATCCCATCCTTGGTTTCGCCTGGCTAGACCTGTCCCGCAGCCTCTTCTCCCCTGGGCTCCTGAGGTCTAAGGTCCCAAGACGTCTAATACAAGTGGATTGGAGGCGAAGACGCTGAGGGACATTTCACAGCCAGAGCGGAGGCGGTCACTGCTGCAGGACTGAGGACTATTTCTTCTTTATCATCACCTCTAGAAAAAAATGAGCAGGTAATCCTTGCAGGGCAGGGGTAGCCCCACTACAAGGGTTAGTTTTTTTACAAGCTGGAATTCCCCTTTAAAGAAAGAGGGGCAGCATGGTCACTAAGCAGCTAGTATTGTTTCAGAAGATGTCAGAAATCTATGATTGCCTCACAACAGGTTGCCTAAGCCCTCATTCGCACTGTAATCAGCCCGCATGTACAGCTCCGTGCAGGGCCGTACTAAGTAGCTCCTGGGAAGGGCAGGTGCTGCGTGCGATTAGTACGCAGCCCCCGTCCTTCTCTATGGGACTACGCGGCTGTATGCCCCCCTACGCTCACCAGCCCTGCATGTCCATGCGGGTGAGCGTACTAGTACGCTGACAGGATGGATCCTGTCTGTGTCCGAGCCGGAAAACACGCAACCCTAAGGACCTGCACTTGAGGTGAGCGTAGGGGGGGCGTACGGCCACGTAGTCCTATAGAGAAGGATGGGGGCTGCGTACTAATCACACGCAGCACCTGTCCTTCCCGGGAGCTGCTTGGTACGGCCCCGCACGCAGCACGGAGCTGTACGTGCAGGCCGATTACAGTATGAATGAGGGCTAAAGGTCTCATATCATTGAATAGTATCCATCTCAAAGTGGAAACAGCTTGATTTAGAACTCCACACATAAAGCAAAACACTCCATTGAAATGCATACATCTTTACTGTTTTACCTGCCAGAGGATTTGTACTGTTTAGATAGTCTTGTGATTCACACCCTTCTGATACACTGCACAGCCAGAAAGAGCACTCCACTACTTTCTAGTTAGGCTTCACGGATCACCTCCCTGCTTTTGGGCAGAGGTGATGATGCTCACTCATGGTCCAATGAGAAGGTTGCAGGTGTAGGAGGTGCCAAAGGAAGCTGCAAAGCTGAACAAAGAAATAAGGGAATCACCTGCCTATGTTGTCTGGCAAAGATGTCTGAATCATAAACTCGACTAATCAGAATTATAAATCCTTTAGCAGGTAAAACAGTAAATACATGTATTTCAAACGTTAGTTTTGTTGTGTGCTAGAGTTCTGCTGTAACTTTTTCCTGAACATCCTCTTTATTTCATCATGTATGTAGTCCAACAGTACTTACGAGAGACTCATAACTTGCTCTGGAAAACATTTTCAGGAGATCTCTGTAGTCGCCACACATCTCGCACTGCAAGCCCAGCCTTATTAAGCTCTCCCAAGCTCCGCAAATCCCCAAATTCTATATATCTGTCTAATGCTGCTTGCAGAATGGTGACAGGGATACTGAAATTTAAATGGGGGTATGTTGCCCCTGTACTGTTATCTCTTGTGTTACTTGCAACAATCCCTATAATAAAAGAAAACAGGAAAAGAAAAAACACAAAAATATATAATTTACCCAGACTAACATAAATAATAATAAATAATACTGCTTCTCTTTTAGACAGTGATAGCAAACAGTTGTCTCTTACTTGGAGACATCAGAATTAGGAATAAGTAGCAGACACCTTCCTTCGCTAATGCAGATTCAGTGTAGAGACACACTAAGGAAGATCATGTATCAGGACTGCCTAATCAGCTGCTCAAGACACATGTTCTCCTTTAGTAAATCCTGATGAAGGGGGGTATTTGTATGAGCCCCCGAAACGTGTTAGCTATTTCTATAAATAAAAAAAGTATGGTGCTTCAATTCACAATCTTGCAACTAATTGAGGAAGCTCTTGTGATTCTGCCATTTATATTTTGGATGGATCTAAATTCAAAATAGGGCCATGCTCATGAGTTGGCTTTTAAACTTTCTGTCTTCCTGACCTGAAACAGTTACAGAGCAACTATGGCAGTTTCCATATTTCTATCCTCATAGTTTCCATTTAAAACATTAGCACACTATTGCACTGTGTTAGCCATCAATTAATGCAGAACATTTGGAGTTTAACTAATACCCTTCATTGGCCAGCATATGTTATCAAAGATGCAAGCTTTCCAGATGATTTGGATCCCTTCTTTAGGCTTTGTACAACTGTAAAAAGCTTGAAGAAGGGATCAAAGGCAGGACAGGACATATTCTAGGAGCCAGTTTACCAATGCTTCTTAAAAATTAAAGTTGGTGCCTAACATTTGAAGTTTTCTCTATTGGTCAATTAAGCTGGCTCCTAAGAAAAAATTCTGCTGACTCCTGGATAAGCCAGACTGCCTCTTGAATTCCATATTCATTTGTCTACTAATGATCTAAGGCATCCCAAAAGCTTGCATCTTTAATAACTTAAGTCAGCCAATACAGGGTATCACTAAAACTCCAAACTTACTGCATTTAAAAAATTAAAGCAGCACTTAATCTGCTCAAATTGCCAGTCATTAGCCTGTACCTGTACTCAAATCCCATCAACTTCCAAGCAAAGTCTTGGTGCCTGGTAGCCTGAGACTGGGGAAAAATAAATAGTCTACTATATAATAGTATAGGTTTTTATTTATTGTATTTTATGAGTGGACAGGGAGTAGGATACATTTACTTTTCAGGCCTCATGCACATGGCCCGGAAATGGCCATACAGCGCACAGGCAGCACAGAGGGTCTGAGTTCAGGGCAGTGCGCAAGTCCTGGTCAACATGTAGACATTGGGATTTGCAAGTATTCCCTTACAGCCACGGCTCTAGCCATCCTGTCATTGATTTGTACAGCTTGGCTTGCACGTATCTGTGCAGCACACCTGTGACTCCCAGGCAGACAAATATACCCGATCTGTATGGCGGTTTAGTTGTTGAGTCTGGTCCAAAAGGATAGGTGTCCCCCAACACTCCAGAACCAACCAAGAACTGAAATATTGGTTTTAAACAGCGTCAGCCTGGAGCAATTGGTGGCCCACTAGAAAGGTGACCATTTTGTATAGATCATGTAAGGTTCAATGTCACATGAAAATAAAGAGAACATACAAAACTAAATAACCAATACATTGTTCCACTTTTTACCTAGTAGTTCTCCAGACTGAACAGCAAACAAAGGTCCTCCGCTGGAACCTCCATGGACGGCACATGATGTCTGCAACATGACTGGGACATCACCAACAGATATGACTGATGACAGGACTCCAGATGTCACAGATGGGCCGCTGCGTTCTCCCAGTGCCCCAAACCCAACAATGCAAACATCCTCTCCTGCCAAAAATATGGAAATGCGTTGCATTTTCAGCATATCTTATTATTCAAATTAGGAAAATATTAGATTTAGTATATCAAAAACATTTCAGCCTGTTAATAAAAATGCACTGTCACTGGTAAGACCATAGATCTAAATGTGATAGAACAAAACATTGGCTTGGCAACTACCCTCAGTTCTCTCATTTTCTTCCTTCCAGGAACCCAATCTTGCTTCACATCTGCTTTAAGACATGCTGCTTTTTACATCATTGTGACAAATCATATTTCTTCTTCAGGTATAAATGGAGAGAGCTGAAGCTGAAGCATCTCCTGATAACTATATTTCTTCAAAAAGAGTTCAAGCAGCTGCTGTTGCAACTAAAAATCAAGACCTTTTGACAGAAAATAGTAATAAAGATTCATGTACAAAAGGTATAAATATGGTTGCACCAATACATAGGAGTGTATTTACAAACTGTTTGCATGGTGAACCACTCTGCAAATGAAATTTCCAATGCATTATGGCCAATAGATGGAGCAATAGGAATTTTCTATGTGCCATCTAGTGGGCATAATTCACTGCAAATCTTGTTCATAGAGCTGCCTGCTGTTCAAACACTGCAAATTCATAGAAAGCTCAGCCAAGCACCAGGCACACAAGTCCCACAAGACAGATACGCCTCAATTCCCAAAGATTTGCACAAGGATATATGAATCCTTATCCTGGTCTTTTAGGTTGTGACATGAGCTTGTTATATAAGGACCCAGGAAGGAAGCTTGCAAGGTATTAGACTGAATAAAAAGAAGAAAGAGGAAGAGAGAACTTGATATGCAGATAAATTACCGTGACTAAGTCCAGGCCTGGAGAACAAACATGCAAAGTCTTTACATACAGTAGTGTAACATCAAAAGAAACCTGTCATGAGGAAAACATGGAGGCTGTCATTGCCTACCTCTCCTTCCAAAAAAAAATAAATGCTGTGGCCATGGAGGTGATTGGAACAAACTGAATCCAATGATTTGGAGGGGTTTCCCGATACTTTTGGAAATATAGGGTATAGCTGGATGTGTGGGGAGGTCACTCAACACTGTCTTCTACAGACCTTGGTTCAGACCTCAGTGACCTTTCTGCTAATCTGTCGCCTTTAAAATTCTCCTCCATTTGTGCAGAGTAAAAAATGAAATAAAGCTACATTCACTTACTATTGCACTGAAAAGGTCCAATGACTCAGTACTTTTTGGAATACAGATAAATACCAACAAACCTGTACAGTAGCCAGATGCCAAAACCGGTTCAGGTATACCAGGGATATCTTCTTCCAGTTGTATGACGGCAATGTCAAAGGGAGAGGATTCGTGCGTTGAAAACACCACGTTGCCCCTGACAGCATGAAACCTACAAATGTTTTCAGAGATAATTATCTATTTTTTGCATGGCAAAAACTTTTTGGGATTAACCAATGACCTAACATCTTCATGATGTTTCAGGTATGGACTGAGGAGAAACATAAACCCTGGATGCAGCTTGGGACAAAAAGGTGATATTATGCTTTAAGAACAGGAAATATGTTTTTTTAAGAGAACTTTGTCTGTAAACTAGCCAGCCAAGGCACACTGAGAGAATACGGTTGTCAGTCTGCTGCAGACATGGACAAAGAACTTCCTCAGTTGACCCTCTCTAACTAGGGCTGCAACAACTAATCGACTAAATCGATTATAGAAAAAGTTGTCAACTTTTTCAATCATCGATTAATCGGATTCCGATTAGTTGGCCCTGTTCAGGGCTCCACACACGTTGCACGCCGCACTTCCTCCCCACCTCACGCTCGCCGCTGCCAGACCCGCCCGCATTCACACGCCGCACCCCCTCTTCGCCTCACTGCCAGCCCACATCCACGATCGGCACAGGGACGTGGGAAGAAATAAGAAGGAGTAGGTGTGGGGAATAGTCTTTAGCTGAAGCTCTATCTCTGACCAATCAGTAATCAAGTATGATGGAATATTGTAAGCTTCCTGCAGATGACAACGTACTGCTGTATAACACCCTGGGACTATCTCACTCTACTGCAAATAGCTAACCAAGCTTCCTAGTTAGCGGGGTCACCTTTACCCAAAGCTAGTATGTAAGAGTTCCTAAAGCTTTTTTAAATATGTGCGGCCTACCTTTTAAAAGCATAGTGATCTCCACTTGTCATTTTATCATTCTGGATCTTCACAGAGACCTTGGATGAATCTCTCACCACATGTCGGCAGGTCAGCACTAGTTTTGGTTTCAACAGAACCCCCGATCCCCATGACTGGCCCGAATCCACTAGAACCGCAACTGCCATCAGATGTTCTAAAGGTCTTGCACCTCTCTTAGGTTTGTCCACAATGCAGTGTCCCATCTCCAATGCTGCCAATTCCTTTTTCATAGGGATATCTGCCTTGCCAAGAGCCTTTATAATGTTATCAATGATATGGCTTATAGAACACGCCAGAGTCAATCCTACCCATTCATTAGCCTTCCAGCACAGCGGGGTCACTATTATTCCTACCAAATGCAAACGTCCATTTTCAAATAAGAATACGCCCCCTCCTTCTGACCCTGGTAGACAACGGGCATCAGTAAGCATTACAACGTTTCCATCTCCGGCGGTGTTGCTTAAGACTCCTTTACTAACGGTGTTCAGGAAGATGTCAGGGTAAAAGGAGCCGAATGGAGAGCTGCATGCAAACACTGCACTGCCTTTAACTAGTCCAGAGGATTTCATGATGTCCATTCTGCTCTTTGCTTGGCGAAGTGGGCTTTGCAGCTTCAAAACAGCAAACCAATGAAGGTACTCCAGATCCTTCTGGAACTCTCCATATTCTTTTTCTTCTTCACTGGAAAACACCCAACTGTCTTCTTTCCTGAATAATCTAGAAAAGGCCAATTGAAACTCAGGACACGGTAAAAGCATAAGAAGTTCAGCAGTGTGCTGCGTTCGCTGGCTTTGTGGCTTTGACACGGGGACTAGGCCAAGTCCAGACCTCTGGTCCAACACCTGATGGTTAAAGTGGGTTTCCTGTTCTGCATCTATCTTTGGTTTAGACCAGCATTCAACTTGAATCAATAAATCTGATGGGAAGTTGTCTGCTGAGAGCACGGTATGATCAGAGGAAGAAAAAGGGCGATCCCTTTCCTTCAAGAAAGGAAAAAACACAGCTGCTTGACAGATGACAATCCCTGTGCCCCGGTCTAATATCACTCCACTGCAGCTCCATAGTCCATCGCCTTCACTTCCAGCTGGAGAAAAGGGCTTCTCATTGCCTCCTCTATAAAGATCCGAGTGGACATTGCTGTTATTCTGTCCAGGAGGGGATGATTGTGTTTGAGAGGTAGTTACAACACAGCCGCTCAGTTCCGCAAGCAGCAAGTGAGACTTGATCATGTTAAAGCTAAATGCAAATGTCTAAATACAAGAGGAAAGTGTCTTCTTCCTTGAATCTTGGTGCACTTTGTGTATTTATTTTAGATCTGTGCAGTAATCCAGTGTGAAACTTTCCCTGTATAGGTGCTTCTTATCATAAAGACCAGTCATTGCTGATCTTTCTCCTTGTGCAGAGTGGCTGGTCTTGTCTCCACCCCCTCTTCTAGTTTTCTACAGGCAGCATGTAGTGGACAGAGCTCTCTGCAGCACAGTAATTATATCACTGATCTTTTTGCAAGGTGATATTTGGATTTGCAAGACATTTGGCGCACATAACAATGGATGTATGCCCTTTGGGGAATGTACTTAAATAAACGTTTCAGATAAACTTATGTTCAGTCTAAGCAAAAACAACAGAAACTCCGTACAATGAGAATCTGGGCAATCAGTCATCAATCACTCCATTTCTTCATCCCCCTTCCAGTCATAACTATCTCCAGGTATGTTTTACAAGTAAGCAGGACGATGTCATCCACCCGTCCCTGTAATCCAAGTATACGTGCATCCCTGACACATCAGTTCGGAGCCGACCTTGCTACATTTCCAGTTCACTAGAAGCACCGTGTGTACAGATTCAAAGTTCACTGACAGCCGCCTGACCAGGAAGTTGACACCCCCATGCACGTGTTATGTGTGGCTTAGCCTCTCACCCAATAGGCTGCCGCAGATTTCATTGGGTGACAGAAACCGCTGTCATATGTTCAACCACACGCCCAATAAGCTGCCACGTTGTATCTGCAGATTTCATTGGATGACAGGAGCAGCTGTCACATGCTGAACCTTCCAACCAATAGGCTGCCGCGTTGTATCTACAGATTTCATTGGATGACATGAGCCGTTGTCATCCCCGGATTGGCGGGGAGTTTACCCTGCACAGTGTTCAGAGCAATACACTTAGCGTCCTGAGGGGGCGCCAGATTCACCACATATCCTAGAAGGCCAGAAAGGGAAGTGACTTGTTTGTGCCACGTTCGTTGCCTCGCCAATGAACCCTTCCGAGGGTGTTCTGAAACGTATAACCAAATAAGACAGTCTTGTGAGAAGGAACCAGTCATAAAAATCAGCTTCATGTGTATGGCCAGCCAAGAATATTGTTTGCTTCAAGGGGGCTTTGCACTCTGATAATACGAGTCTATGGGAATGCAAAAGCTGCTTGAAGTAGGTGAAATGACGTTCAGAAGGTCACCTGCAGGTTAAAGGCATAGTCCACCTTTTGCAAACATTTATTAAATGCATTTAAGCCTGCAGAGTATTGCAACTTCAGTCAGGGCATTCTATGGGTGCAATGTGCAGGCTTCTGCATTGTGTACACCCAACCCAGGTCTGTACAGAGGTACCCCTGAAACATGGGTGTAACATGATATATGATCCAAAGGTGGACTAACCCTTTAACCCTTTCGCTGCCAAGCCCTCCGGAACATTTTTCAAATCAGCTGGCCAAGCCATTATTGAATTTTCTGCAATTTTTTCCTATTGGTTTGATCTTCAACTGCTGCGTTGCTAGCGTTTGTAAAAGACCCCCCAAACCATATATTTTCTGAAAGCGCAGGCCCGGTAGAATAAAAAGATGGTGATACTAAATTTGTAGGCCCTGCGATAATTGCGCAAATGTTTCTCAATAACCTGTCAATCAATTCCAAATGATCACAGAAGCGTCTTAAACCGATGTCATTGACATCGAGCTAAATCCTCTCTTTTCCTGTCCTGCTGGCATCTTACCTGTCAGGAAGTCAGGGGAAATCGCCATCATCATCACAGACAGAAATAAGAGTAGGGGAAAGGATAGAACCCCTGTTAGATACCGTCATGTGCAAAAATATTGGCACCCCTGCATCTCTGTCAGATAACGCACCACTACGCGCAGAAATTGTTGCAATTACAAATGTTTTCGGCATTCCACGCAAAACTCCAAAAATGGACGGGACAAAATTATTGGCACCCTCAATTAATATTTGGTCACACAGCACTTGGAAAAAAAACCTGAAATCAATGGCTTCCTGTAACCATCAATGAGTTTCTTACACCTTTCTACAGGAATTTTGGACCATCCTTCTTTCGCCAACTGCTCCAGGTCTCTCAGATTAGAAGGGCTCCTTTTCCCAACTGCTGTTTTCAGATCTCTCCACGGGATTCACATCTGGGCCCATTGCTGGCCAGTCCAGTACTCTCCAGCACTTTGTCTGAAACCATTTCTGGGTGCTTTTTGACGTGTGTTTTGGGTCATTGTCCTGCTGTAAGACACATGACCTCTGACGGAGACCTGACTTTCTGACACAGGGCCCTACATTGCACCCCAGAATTCTTTGTTATTCTTTAGATTTCATAATGCCATGCACACAGTTAAGACATCCAGGGCCTGAAGCAGCAAAGCAACCCCAAAACATCAGTGAACCTCCACCATGTTTGACTGTAGAGACTGTATTTGTTTTCGTTAAAGTCCTCATTTCTTTTTCTGAAAACAGTAGAGTGATGAGCTTTACCAAAACGCTGTCATTTTGTTGCGTCTGTCCATAGCACATTCTCCCAAAAGGATTTTGGCTTCCTCAGGTAAGTTTTGGCAAACTCCAATCTGGCTTTTTTATGTTTCAGTGTCAGCAGTGGGGTCCTGCTGGGTCTCCTACCATAGCGTCCCTTTTCATTCAGATGGCAACGTATACTACGAGCTGACACAGTTGTACCCTGTGCCTGAAGGTCAGCTTGAACTTGTTTGGAAGTTGATTGAGGGTCTTTATCCACCATTCAAACAATCCTTCGTTGCAATCTACAGGTGAAACTCGAATAATTAGAATATCGTGCAAAGTTCATTTATTTCACTAATGCAACTTAAAAGGTGAAACTAATATATGAGATAGACTCATTACATGCAAAGCAAGATAGTTCAAGCCGTGATTTGTCATAATTGTGATGATTATGGCTTACAGCTCATGAAAACCCCAAGAACCCCAAATCCACAACCTCAAAAAAGTAGATTATTACATGCAATCAATAAAACAAGGATTGTACATAGAACAATATCGGACCTCTGAAAAGTACAAGCATGCATATGTACTCAGTACTTGGTTTGGGCCCCTTTTGCAGCACTTACTGCAATTACTTTTGCACGATATTCTAATTATTCGAGTTTCACCTGTTATGTCTTTCCTCCCCATCCAGGGCGATTAGCTACAGTGCCATGGGCTGTAAACTTCTTGACAATGTTGCGCACAGTGGACACAGGAACATTAAGATCTCTGGAGATGGACTTGTAACCTTGAGATTGTCCATGCTTCTCCACAAAAACTTGGAAAGCAATTATCTCTTGCAATTTGGAGAAGGTGCCAATAATTTCGTCCAATTTTGCGTGGAATGTGTCAGATTTGGCTTTTTCTTTCTCCACTTTTTTTGTGTCATACCAATTCAAACAAAAGAAATAAACATGAGAATGCTTAAACATTTCTAATTGCAGTAATTTTCTGCCTAGAGAGGTGCAATATCTGACAGAAATGCAGGGGTGCCAATATTTTTGGCCATGACTGTGTGTATTGTTGTCTGTGTCCCTATAGCAAATTTCCTTTCATTTCCTGTCTGGTAAAACCATTGTCGGCAGGACAGGACGTCTCTCTAATGGGGTCCAGGATAGAAAAAAAACCTGACGGGATAGAAACCGTCCCCACTCTAGAACAAGAATGTTTTGACTCCATATGCACTTTATTGCATTACACATTGTAAAACTATTCCAGTTGTCTTAATAAGAATGCTTGTCCCTCTACAATACGTATGGAGGAATAAATAAATGAACAGCTTTATTAGCTTAGGTTAAAGGATAACTTTACTTTCGTATATTGAACCTTGCCCCAAGTTATACGCTTTCTAATCTAAATACAAAACCTACTTTAGATGTGCCAACAACTATATAGTGGAAGGCCATGCATGACTGGATAAAAATGAAAAGGGTTGTGGAGGCGGGCTCTCATATTACATATTTTTGGGAAGTCTAAAAGCTCATTAACATAATATCCATTGACCTGCAGTGAGATACAGTGCACAGCATGTCTGCCTTTTTGGGCAGAGCAACTCCCACCGCACGTCACCGCAGTATGTTGCAGAGCGCAGCAGTGGATAGACTGGAATGAAGTGTATGTTGCAAAGCGCGGCACTGGATAGACTGGAATGAAGTGTCAGTATGTTGCAGAGCGCGGCACTGGATAGACTGGAATGGAGTATCAGTATGTTGCAAAGCGCGGCACTGGATAGACTGGAATGAAGTGTCAGTATGTTGCAGAGCGCGGCACTGGATAGACTGGAATGGAGTATCAGTATGTTGCAAAGCGCGGCACTGGATAGACTGGAATGAAGTGTCAGTATGTTGCAGAGCGCGGCACTGGATAGACTGGAATGGAGTATCAGTATGTTGCAAAGCGCGGCACTGGATAGACTGGAATGAAGTATCGGTATGTTGCAAAGCGCGGCAGTGGACAGACTGGAATGAAGTATCAGTATGTTGCAGACCGCGGCACTGGATAGACTGGAATGAAGTATCAGTATGTTGCAAAGCGTGGCAGTGGATAGACTGGAATGAAGTGTCAGTATATTGCAAAGCGCGGCACTGGATAGACTGGAATGAAGTGTTAGTATGTTGCAAAGCGCGGCACTGGATAGACTGGAATAAAGTGTTAGTATGTTGCAAAGCGCGGCACTGGATAGACTGGAATGAAGTGTTAGTATGTTGCAAAGCGCGGCACTGGATAGACTGGAATGAAGTGTCAGTATGTTGCAGAGCGCGGCACTGGAAAGACTGGAATGAAGTATCAGTATGTTGCAGAGCGCGGCACTGGAAAGACTGGAATGAAGTATCAGTATGTTGCAGACCGCGGCACTGGAATGAAGTGTCAGTATGTTGCAGAGCGCGGCACTGGATAGACTGGAATGAAGTATCAGTATGTTGCAGACCGCGGCACTGGATAGACTGGAATGAAGTGTCAGTATGTTGCA